AGCAACGACACGAAGCGACATGAAAAAGCTTACGAAACAGTTGACCGTGGTCGGTTGTTGTCGACTGTACGTTTGGGGTCCCAGATGCGGAGTGTTGCTTTTTGGAGACACTGAAAATCATGGCTCAAGACCGACTCCAGTGATGGACGTGTATCATGGTATTTTGCGGTGATTCCCTTTCTCTCCTATAATAAAGCAAACTATTAAGAAAGCTCAAAGCCTGTGGGAAACTAGACAAAAATGTTCTGTTTTTCCTCCTTATTACAATCCTGTCGTAATGAATCTTCAATCTATTGGTTCTGACAGCACGTTAGTTCAAATACTGTTTTTGTTGTTTGCTATTACTTCTGTACCTGTCGACAATTAGTTCACTCTTTACGTCTCTGGCGATACTGCGCCAATTTCTCAAGGTATTTATGATGTTGGCACCGTTCTCGGCAATTATGCTGGATACAGCCTGAATGACTGGATACCAGTGAACAGCCGCTGTGTGCGATTCGACTTCAAACCTCTAATGGAGTTAATAAACACTGTCTGAAAACAAGGTGGCTTTTTATCTTGGCCCTACTGACTACAGTTCGGAAAGTATGAAAAACGATTTCTTTCATGAACTCTCATCTCCGCATATCGAAAAATGCCGACATCGTGATTGTTACGGAGCAACATCTGGGACGTTTCTGGGTCGATGTAAGCTAAAAATACGAGGACACCGGTCTATTCCCGCATTGCATTTCAGTGCATGGATCAGGGTTGCTTAATTGGGTTGAACACACGCGGTTTTATCACACACCAACCATTCATTTATCAACAACTGTTGCTTCCGCAGACGTGCTTTTACCTGTTTTACTGATGATCATATAGTATACTCAGCGGCTCTTCTTCGACCCCTACCTTCCGATTCAGGGTCTCTGGCTTAGGTACTTGCTGCTCACTTAGCAAACTACACCTGGAGTGCGGTATGTCTTCAGGTCTCCCAACCGTACCATCAACAGGACACATTGCCGAATGCGACGAAGTTGGGCTCAAATGTTGTAAGGTGTCAGTATTACGCTGACACATCATACCGACACGCAACCACCATCAGTCGTCCATTGGCGAAGTATACCGCCAGCTCGCTCACATCTACACGGATTCGAGCCAGTGACCTCAAGGTTACAACACAGGCTCTCAATCCTTTCCGCAACCGGCCGCAAATGTGGCACGATAGTTTGTGTTTCTCTAATCCATTATGCTATCATTAGTTACACTTTCCAAATGCCTTCTGAGCCACCCGTGTCTTTCACATTAATGATTAGGACTCAGATCAATTCAATCAGCATCAAGGTAGAGAAGAGGTCGTTAGCGCTCTTCCTTAAAAACGTGGTCTGGAGAGATAACAGATGCTGGGGTTATAAGCGCACAGCTCATTTGCCGTAGAGCAGCACGTTGATCATTGGTTTGCTACCACCCATATCAGGCCAGGCAGCCTCTAATCAAATGGGTCTAAATCTTCTAACCGGCGCCTGCGTTTTGCCGTTTTTGCAAGTACACAATGTAATACAGTCGGGCAACATGTGATTTGTTCTATCTCTTTGACCGTTTGACCGTTCTTAAGCAAATCCGCGTACGAATTTACATTTGCGTTCCCAGACTGGGCATACTCTTTCTTCTCTGTACGTCAGAATATAAATCGATGGCTAGAGGTACGGCGCCTTGAACTGTATCTCTCCATTGGATTAAGCAGCCGCATTCTATCATCTACCAATTTGACACCATTGCAAATGATCTTTCGTTCTACGTTTCCCCGCATTTTCCCGTATCTACTCGCGTACACTGGCAAGAATCCGTTGCTAATTCTTCTAAGCATCACTCATCATCATGATTGCACGCTAGTTGATCGTGGGAAACACTTCAGCTATGGGCTGTACTACAAAACGATAAAATATATGAAAAAAGCTAGATATTAAACATTACAGAATGAAAGAACCGTAAAAAATGCAGTGCTTTATTATCTTATGCTTGGAGTGTGGGATAGGCGTTGGAGGGGGAAGCTAAGCGAGAGAGGGAAGAACAAAGAAATTCACAGCACTTTATTAAGGTAGTTTCTTTGCCATGTCAACAAGGGTGTACAAACGAACGTGTTCATCCTCCTTTGGATTCAGCTCAGCGATTGGGATGCACCAGCGGAGGCCAACTTCAAATTGAGGACCTCATTCTTCTTGATCTAGTCATCGCTTAACCTCCCCTCCGCTTCTTCCATCCACACTGCAGGCGCGCAAACAACGTACCATGCGGAAGTAGGTGTGCTGATATACACAACACATGGCCTGGCTATCAGAGCCTGTTGCGCGATATAACGGTGCTGTGCGGTTCACTCGCTCTTCTTGCACCAAATACGCGGCGCTGAACACGCTCATTGCTTACGCGGTATTCCCACCCGACATGAGCTAAACTTCGAAGGCAGCGATGATTGAACGTAACTAGCCTCTTTATATCTGTGGTCCTGCTGGTCCAGGTTTCGCAACCGTACAGTAGTGTTGTACGGACTTTTACACTGTAAACTCTGTCCTTCAGGGTGAGTGATGTGGGGCTGGCGCCACAGATAGTGGAGAATGCAAAAGCGCCTCGAGCTTTTGTATGCGGTCTGTGATCTCATCGTCTATTACATGCACTACTATAGCTACCGAGATGCTTGAATTTCTCCACGACTTCTAACTAATCACCATTTAGGGTCGATACAGAGGTGGGCTCCAGCCGATCTTTAAAGATTGCTTTTCAACGGTGCAAAGCGGAGCCCGAAACAATCGACAGCCACTTCTCATCTGTCTTGTGTTTTAATTACGTTTGGCAGCTGGCAGAGATGAAGGCAACGTCGTCGGCGTGCTCCGATTCAAGAAGTTGATTCCCCCGAAGCAGCTTTACAGCTTGTAGGCCGGGCCAAGTGAACGCGGTTTCCATGACTTCCTGCAACCATGTCTCACACGGATGGAGTTTTTAGTGTGTCGACATTTTGCCATAAGCCTTTTTATTGCTTAAACTATGCCTGTACAGCGCTCTGATAATGTCTACGTATTTCTCAAACACACCTCTCCTGAGTAGACAGTTCCAAAGGGCACATCGATCAACCGAATGAAAGGCATTTTTGTTGAAGAACACGACTACGGCGCGTTGGCAATAATTGTGACGGTGTTACAGCAATCGATGTAAAATGAAGATATAGTCAATACAGATATGACTTTGACGAAACCCGACTTGCTCTTCACGAATCTGGCTTTCACAAGTGCCGTCAGGTCTATGGAGAACGACAGAGCTAAGTAACTTGGAAGCAGTTGAGATCAGTCCGATCTATTTATGATTGCCGCATTCCGAACGTGAACCTCATTTGAAGTTCGTGACTGTAATGGGACAGCTTTAGTCTGTTGGGACAATCCCCTGCTCCATCAGTTTCACCAATAAATCGTGTAAATCGTCCATAAGAGCAGTTTCCCATTACTTTTAGTGGGGTGGAGGAAGCTTGTCTGCTCCTGTGGCCGTATTCGCTTTCAAGTCTGATCTCACGTTCGACTACTGCGTGTGAAGACGTATCCAAGGGGACGGTCCAGGGAGAAGGGCTATTAATAACCGATAAAAAACTGGTAACCATCACTGATTAACTTGCTTTTCAAAGTCTTCGGCTCACCGTTCCGAGCGTTTTGACAAACTGTGAATAGACTGTTCACTGTTGTCACATATATTCTTGCTAGTACCATGTCTCTTGCTGCATGTTTCGTGTATCAGATTGAATAACTTCACATAGTGAATATATATCTAGAGGCTCGATTACCATATTTAGAACAAGGAAGACAGTCGCACTGGGATGTCAATTCCGCTTATTCGCAACACTGTGACTAGGAATCTGAGAATTAACTAGGATCGTTGGTGGATGGCGGAAGCGTGTGTAAGATGCCAGCACTGTTTCTGCCCATTCGTCGCACTTGTCCGTGAAATGATTTAGTGAGTTAATTAATAATTGAAAGAAATGGTCAACTGAAAGAAGGATCATTTGGAGTCCACGTTATGTGCTTGGATTGCGACATGCGACCTCAACTGATTCGCTGTCACTCATGTCATTTGCAATACTGATCCGAGCACTACAGAGCAATGCAGCGGGTTCGGTATATTATATTCGCACTTTGTTGACGAGATTCGACACGAACTTGTGCTGTGTAGGCGGAACAAATTGCCTGACCCAGACAACCTTCCGCTACTGAAGAACATAGGCGACTCATTAGTAACTGTTTTTGTTTCCCTGTTTGACACCATTTGACACAAGCAGGAGTTGGCTTTCCACTGACAACTGTCGATTGTCATTTCAATTTTAGAAAAAAGACCAACAGACATCCTAGCAATATCATCGTAGTGTCAATCTGATATCAGTTACTTCCAAACTACTGACATGCCTCTTGACTCATAATGTTTCTTGTATGAAACAAATCGGTGAAGGTCAAACAAGCTTCCACGTTTATACTTTTTGGCAGTTAGGCAAACATCGTCATTCTTGCAAACACCGTATCTTAGTTTTCTTTGTTGCTTTGACACTGTTTGCTTCCATCGATCGCACCTGTTTGTGACAGTGCCTATCTCTCAGAGGTCATCTGTGAAATACTCCATCTTAAGTTTTCTGTTCTACTCTCATGGCCGTGAAAGGGGATGGGGCTTGCCGAATCACTAGGAACCACTGTGTACATATTGCAAATTCAACTTATGAACATAAACTGGTGTGTCACTCACACTCACATAACTTGATATCGGTTCTTTGTTATCATACCTCTTTCTAGCAACATTTAATTGCAAGAAAGTGTTGGAATAACCAATTGGTCCCTTGCATGCATCCATTCCCTTGTCACAGCCTCAAAAATATCTTGTCGATGCAAGGTATCAGCGTTCTCAGGTGTTGCATTCCGCTGTCTAACTGATTTTGTCTGCGCAGTTTCGTTCTTGTAGAACTAATCGCCATGGCATTCTTTCATACTCGTACCTAGCGCACAGTGGGAGTCTCTTGGAGATATGAACCGGGATGAGGCCAAGCTGGAATTCATTGGCTTGATAAGTAAACTATGTCCATTCTTCCAATCGCATCTGGAGGCCTACTCACGGAATACTATGGGAAGTTCACTTTCACCCCCTACGGCGTAAGTGTCCCCCATCATTTTGTCTGTTTGTTGCATCCGATTTGTTCACTTCTACCATCGTAGTTGGCTTTTACTCGTCCTCTTATAGTCGCTTCGCTTGTTCTTCATTGTTCCCCATTCTACGCGTTGTAATAAACAACTTGAGCTGTGTGGCACCGGGGGACAATTTTGTTATGTGTTTCGACAAGTCCATTGCTTTGAATTTAACGACGTTGCCTGCTTTATATTATGCGTCATCTAGAGGGTGGTTAACTGTCATTACCATGTCACAAATCCCGTTTTCATGAATGCCAAACCCGGAGGTGTTATGTTGCTTGGCCTAAACTGAGGAAACGTTCCACATTATTAGTTTCATCGTCCATTCCACTTCTCAGTCGTTACGTTCCACTTTATAATGTTGAAGAAGCTTGTCTCCTTCACCCGAACCCAATTGAATATTAACCGTCATTCCGATGTTTCTGCTTTGGGCAACAGTACTATGCTTCCTGACTACGATTGGAGACCATAACAAACCATCTGTTGCTGTTTGTACCTTACAATGAAAGTCTATATATATATATATATATATATATATATATATATATATATATGGCGGACACTGTTAATGAAACCACTCTAGATATCTGACGTTATTCCGGTACATCGTTCACGTTCCGTCGCCGTAAAAAAGTACGGAAAGCTTCACAGACATAAACATACCATTTTCACTTTATATTGGACGTTTTGGAAATCCTCTTAGACGTTTTGCACAACAAATTGGACATGTTGCAAACCGTATTGGACACGTTATACTCTAAGCAGATCAGCAGTTTACTAGGAATAAATGAGGAGTAAGGCGACTAGACGATGTTCAGACCACATTGTAGTCACTCTAATGCAACCGAATTGTATAAGCAGCAGGTGCCACAGTAAACACTTCCATTGATCGTGAACATAAGTCACCTCGATCAAAGGTGGTGACTGAGTTTTCCCTCTCCCCATGGGCCTTCGTGTAGTTTATGTGTCCGTGCCTTTACGCAGGAACCAATGTAGCTTTGTGACTGTAGTGAAGCTTGGCCGAATCGATCACTGAGACCGTAACTGATGAAGCGGATAAAGGGCGACCCAGTAGTTCCGTTTCACTCTATGGACCTTCGCGTATTTTGTGTAGGAGTGTGGGCAAACCTATGCAGCTGCACGACTACTGGAACAGTGCATGCTATCATGACTCCGCCAAAATCAATATAGCTTTATTTGTCTATTGCCATTATTAGTTATTAAGAACAGGCGACTGGATGATGTTCAGGCAATATTGTACTCACGCGAATGCTACTGAACTGTGCAAATAGTGGGCGGATGTGTACGCCGTCCTCTGGATCATGGGCGTCGATCACCTCGATCAAAATCGGTAACCCACATTCCCCTATCCCACTATGGTCATTCGGGTGTTTTATGTGGGTGTGGGGGCGAACCTATGCTGCTGCTGGACTATTGGACCATTGTAGGCTATCATGACCCCGCCTAACCCAGCATCGCCTTATTAGCCTTGTACCACATGAAACGACCAAAATGAGCGACGAACGACGATTTCCCACTGCTTGAGGTTTGCAACATGTCCAATTTGTTGTGCAAAACGTCTAAGAGGATTTCCAAAACGTCCAATATAAAGTGAAAATGGTATGTTTATGTCTGTGAAGCTTTCCGTACTTTTTTACGGCGACGGAACGTGAACGATGTACCGGAACAACGTCAGTTATCTAGAGTGGTTTCATTAACAGTGTCCGCCATATATATATATATATATATATATATATATATATATATATATATATATATATATATATATATATATATATATATATATATATATATATATATATATATATATATGCTCATCACTTCACCAATGATATTACATTTGGCTGATTGCCAAAAAGTGAAAGGCATCAGCAGTACGCCGGTACTCAGTACCGAAGCTCCGCTGCCGCGCAACCACCATCGGTTGCCCATGGTCAGCAGATACTGCGAGGGTCGCTCAGTCCTCTACCCAGGTTTGAACCCGCGCCGTTAGATTGCAAGACAAGCTCGCTACCTTTAGGCTACGGGCCGGCATTAGGTCGTGTTAAACTTACCTGAATCATAGTATGGTAACGCAATTTCGGTTTTCCCACGTGCCACTTCCCTCACACAATTGGCCATAAAGCAGCTGTTCCAGTATCCGTGTCGAATCCATGCAGCCAAAATTCCCAAGCCATCTCAGCAGAAGTACGCAGTCTACTGCATACATGGCACTGAAGCGCAACACTTCCTTGTCCGCAACTCTCTTGCACCAACCGATGCGCAGAATCTGTTGCAGACACTGTTAATGACGTTATTCCAGTGTTTGTAAGCAAACACAGTTGATCGGCGCGAATGGCGTGGCTTGATCAAGAGGGCGATTGTCCAGGTGCATGAGAAAGCACCGTTGTAGCGGAGAAAAACGCCGGGTACGGAAGCCCCAGTCACCAATGGTGGATAGCCCATCGACCTCGAGATAATCAATTGGCATGTCGCTGGCGACGCTGGTGACTTATTAAGCCAATTTGGCTGAGCACGCGCGACCGCATGTGCTGCAGCACCATGCGCTTGGCCTCGATGTGGTAGACTCCATCGGCACCTGTCGCTTCCGTACCAGACGTTTCACCTCCAGATGTAATAGTGCATGCTGCTGCATCTGAGAAATCGCCCTCTAGATCAGCTCACGCCATTCGCGACGATCAAATGACTTTGCTTTTCAACACCCGTGATAAACTCATTTCGCAGTAACATAATTTCTGTTTTCCCACCTGCCGCTTCCATTAACTAAGTTGGCCGTACAAAAAACTGTTTGGGTACCCTCGTTGAATTCATTCGGCTGATATGCCCGATCCACCTCAGGTGCCGCAACAGAGGGATGCAGTCCACTGCATACACGCGGTGCAGCGTTTCCTTGTCTGCTATTCTGTCGCACCAGCCGACGCGTAGAATCTGTTACAGACACTGTTGATGAAACCATTCAAGATATCTTCCTTCCGCTACATCGTCACCGTTTCGCTGCCGTAAAGAACAATGTGCAGTACCATAGATTTGTATATCATCAGCTTCGTTCCAACCTACTGGAACTCCACTCCCGCTTCTCTAACTTTCCAAACACAGTAGCCGTTTCTGATATGTGACTGCGTATCTCGCTCATCATCTTGCATCATCATCTGCAAGTCGGTTGATATTACGCTCCCAAGTTAGCAAACTTTCGATGCTGTTTCCAACACGTCATCGGCAACCTCGCTTTGGGTCAGGTCTGCGGACTCCATTCCTGATGGAGGCTGAAAAAGGTAAACATTCATACTTGTGTTGATTGTGAGCCCGAATTTGGCCGCTGTCGAACCGAGAGTGTAATTCATGTGCTGCAACTCATCCTCGCGGTGTATAAACAACGCGCAGTCGTCGGCAAACACCATACGGATGTATGTCTCACATCATAGGATTCTAGTTCCGAAGTGACGGATGTTCAGCAACACCATCAATACGGTACTCCACACGGACACCGTAGTCACAAGCCACATCAAAAGTTCAAGACGTCAATGGATGAAGGTGAATAATTAACAGGGCAAAGGCTAAGACCCAGCATTGATTCACACTAGAGATAACAGTGAACTCTTCCGAGGTTTGTCCACTCAGCCGCATCCTCGCTTGCATACCGCTGTGCAGACATTCAATCAAACACACAAACTCAGACATCCAAAGCTATCCAACACCAGCTTCGCGGTTTATGTTATAAAATGCGCTGGTGAAATCACGAAAAACAAGTACAGTGGCTGTCGCACTCTGCATTTCTCTCCGCAACTGACGAGCCGCGAACATGATATCTATGGTGCCGCGGCCCGAACGGAATCCGCATCGCTTTTCCGCCGCGTTCGGTTCAACGAGCTGGGTGACAAGGTGGTTGAGCACGATTCGGGCGATCACACAACTCAGCAAGTTGATGCCACGATAACTCGTTACACATTGTTTGCTCCCTTTACCCTAGTGCTGTGGTACCACAAGAGCATCCTTCAGCTTGGCCGGCACTTCCTATTCAATCCACACGCTTTGCACCAAGTAGTGTAACGCATTTACCAACGCGGGTCCACCGGGTTTCAATACTTCAGACGGGATCCCGTCTGCTCCGGCGCACTTGCCGTTTTGCAGCTCAGCAAGTGCTCTCTGCGTCTTATCCAGCGTCCTTGTGTCAACAAGACACATCTTCATCTTTTGCTATTGCAGCCAGTGCGACGTAGGCCAGTGAACCTCTATAAGGTTGTTCAAAAATAGTCCAAGTGCCTTCGCCGCGTCTCTATTATTTCTGGGTCTGTATGCAGACGGCGCCTGAAGTAACATCGAGCAGCGTCCTCAGCGGCTACTAGGTGGATCCATACACCGGCTTCATGGAGTCAACAAATTCTTATATTGGCGTCGTTCAGCGTAGCATTCCATCTGTTTCGCCCTCTCCGTCCACCATGCATTTTTTACGCGACGGAGCCCTCGAGTCAGTCGCCGCCAAAGTTTTCGGAAATGACTCCTCGCAGTTATCATGGTCTGCCACATGTGCAGCGAAAGCTAAGTTCTTTGCCGACACCAAAGCACCAGTGATCTTACCGTTGTCATCAAACAAATCGAGCCGCTTACATTTTGCGCACCCGATGATTTCCTCGGAAACAGCCGTCACCTGCTCACGAAGGTGGTGCCACAGGTTGCTCACTGGGCTATGCGTTCGACATCACAAGGGTGGGTAGCTACCGTCTTCTCCGAATTCATCCTAGTCTCCATAGTACCTAAGGAACGAACATTAAATTTACGCCACTCATTCATGGATTGTGAGCAATACATAGGTTTACGCAAAAATATGTAACATTTGGTCTACATCATTTTGTGATCAGTGCCAGCTCCACGCAGTATACGTGTCATGCGCACTTCGTACATGTCACACTTGCGTATGATGACATAATCGAGCAGGTGAGCGTGAC